TATATATATATATATATATATATAATTTATTCAGTTCTGGGCTGTTTCCCACGTAGTTCTAACAATTGAGAGAAAAATGCTGAGGGGCCAACAACTTCAAAGTAATAACTCAGGTTAAAGCAGGAAACTAAGCTGAACCATAACAAGGTGCCAGTAGCACCTCTAGAAGAATAGTTTGAGTTTGCATGTTTCCAGGCGATACAAGGCTTTGTCTATATAAGACTCAAACTCACTGCGGATCCAGACATTTCAATTGAGCAAGCTTCCTGGAGAGGTGGCGAAACGTCTTTAAATCTTGGAAACCAAGTCCAGAGGATATTTTTTTTATTTTTACGGAATGACTATGACCTGGATGACTGAGAACCTTCAACAGCAGACTTTCAATCATGTTACATGATCCTAGAAACTCTTCCTGCAGCCTGTTTCAGGTTCCATGAAGGGATTATTTCCATATTTATCATTTATATACCCTCCTCCCAGGATTTTGAAAGTTTTGATGATCAGCGTACGTTCTGCACTTTAATAACAGCAACCAAGCTAAACTGATCACACCTGTTGTTCTGCTCTGGTTAGTAGATCAGTTTTGTGTGGGCGCTATTAAGTCTGCACGTTATACGTCCATGCAAACCTTTACTAGATTAGGCCCCAAGGCCCAGTCAAAGTCTGAGTTAAACCAACTAAGGATATGTTCACACAGCAGCCTGAAGTGACCCAAGTCTGATTTTTTTGCCGATATGCGACCTGGATCAGATCTTTTCATGACAGTCTGAACAACTCAGATGCAATTTTTTTCCAATGCGACCCAGGCCACTTGGCTTTGTGGTCCTGAATCTAATATGAATCTGATCTTTTTGAAATGTGACCTGTTTCTGAACAGCCAGGCCGCATTCATTTGACCTGAAAGCCATTAATACTCAACATAGGTCACTATTGTGCGTCTTGCTAAGCAGAAGCAGGAAAAAAAAACAACAACAATCCTGGTGGACGATGATGCGGAGAGCAGTAATTATATTTAACCATCTTAAAAAGATTGAGTTTTCAGGTAGGGAAAGATCGCTATATGCGCTCCAGCACTACCATCTATGTTTACTTGTTTAAACAGAGAGCACGCTGGCTTGTGACGTCATTATGTCCTCTACTGAGCATGCAGGACACTTAAGCTATATGAATGCAGTTCACACAGGAGATCACATGCAAGTGGCATATATTTGGATATGTGAACGGCAACACAAAAAAATTTGTTTCCCCAAAAAATCTGAATTGAGCATCAAGGCCTGCAGTGCGAACGTAGCCTTTGATTCCATTCAAACGAAACACAAACACTTCGACGCATCATCAGAGTGTTTTAAACTGAGAATTTAACAAATACTCATGAAGAAAAACCTAAAAAGAAATATCTGCATGTCTTTATGCCGAGTCTGTTGGTGAAAACTTTTTTCACATCAGGACTGTTTTCGTAGGAAAAGTGCTTCTTTGCTTTCACCTAATGTTTGTCTGGATAAAAACAAACATGCTGTGGAAAAGGATAGACTCACTTTGTCAACAGATTTGTCCCTCTCCTCCATCACAGCCGTCATCTCCTGGGCTGTGATATCATTTCTCCTTTGCTGAGCAAGCTGCAGATGTTGAACTAAAGCCGAGCCGAACTGACGCACTTCATGGACGGAGTCAGCCTCACAGACGCGCCGCAGGAGATCTTGAATGTCCTGAGAAACAGAGAGCACCGAGTCAGCTCGGGTCAGTTTTAACCAGAGTGGTGGTTTGTAAAGGTGCAGGGTGAGCTCACCATATCAGCTCCCTGCAGGCTGATATCATCTGACCTGAAAGTAGAGGAGCACATTATCAGTTCCTCTTTTTATCAACTCTGATAGAGGAATGAGCTTTCTACAGAAGAGCCTTCAGAGATCCTAAACACCTCTGGTCTTCTGTGGTTTCATCAAACAGGAATGACTAAACTTTTTAACAAAGGTAGACATTTTCCATCATAAACAGATGCTGAGACATGATTACTGGCAATAACCTCATCATTCAGTTAAAGCCACACATCCACTCTAGGAAAGGAAACAACATTTCAGGTCTAAACTCTTAATCTTCCTGTTTTAATAAAAAAAAAAAAAAAAAAAAAAAAAAACAATAGAAGAATATTATTACATTTAGGGATGCACGATATTGGGATTTTGGCCGATATCCGATATTTTAAAACTCATGTAGCCGATAACCGATATCGATACCGATGTTAAAGCTGGACAAAAATAAGTAGTCATTGAAAATAGCAGTTTTGTTATCCATTTCTGACACTTTGAAAAATAATATACTCAAATATATTTTCATATGCTGATATCAAATTGATTTTTAAAAACGCGGTATCGATCTATTTTACTTTTTAAAATCTTGTGAAATTTCATCGTTCTGTTATAAACTCTCGTGATATTTTTCAAATTCTTGTGAGATTTTGTTAGTAAAATAGATCGATACCGCGTCAATATATCAACATATAAAAATATGGCAAAATTTCGTGGATTTTCGGGGGATTTCGTAGCATAACGATGACATATAGCAATATTTCATTAGTAAAAGAGATTGATATGGTGTTTTTAAATGGCAATATATCAGCATATAAAGATATTGGGATATTTTAATGCATCAATATTTTTTCCCTCGTCTTTAGAAGTTTTTAAGAAGAAGTAGTATTTTTTTTATTTTAGACTTTAGAAACTCAGAAGCTGATCAAATATCGGGTTAAATATAGGTGGGGTGGCCAATGTCCGATATTCAGTTTTAAGGCCGATACCGATAGGGGGCAGGTTATATCGTGCATCCCTAATTACATTCATTACATTTAAACGACTTTTGCCTTTATAATGAGCTTTTTATAAGCCCAGATGTTGACATCATGGCTTTGTCAGCCTTCAATAGAATAATTCAATTCTATTCAGTTTATTTCTATAGCGTCAATTCATCTCAGGTCACTTTCCAATTCACCAGATCATCCAGTCAGATGATCCAACCAGTGGTTTTCTATCTTGGGAAAACCAGCTGATTGCATCGACTCAATGACTTTTCAGCAATCCCTCACATTAAGCATGCTTGTAGCGACAGTGGAGAGGAAAACCTCCCTTTGAACAGGAAGAAACCTCCAGCAGAACCAGGCTCAGTGTGAGCGGCCATCTGCTGAGGCCAGATTCACACCATTCAAGACATTCATTTAACAAACCCACAGATGCTTTAAAAGGAAACTTCTTAAACTCATCACTTCTTTATATATTTGGTTACACCCTGGAAAAATGATGAAATCAGCCAATATATCCAAGGAGAATTATGGATTTCCAAAAGCCAGATTAGCATCCAAACAACAAACACAACCGGGATTAAAGACTTTCAGGGTCGGTTGGGATTAAACGGAAGAGTTTGACCAGAATGACCACATTTCAAGCCTGTAAATAACATCCCAACTGACACAGAGGTGGCAGCATTATGCTCTGGGGTCTTTAACAGCAGGAGGGACTGATGACATCAGGAGGAAAGATCATTATTTAGAAATACTGAAACAAAACCTCAAGGCAACAATCAAGAAGCTAAAGTTGGAACACTTATCTGGCCCTCAGGAGCCAAAAAGGCCCATCAGCTGGTAAACGAAGGCATCTGTTCTTTTAACGCTTCTAATGTGAATAAAACTGCTAAATAAACTTGATAAAAGTTACAAACCAGAGCATCAATGAAGCGATGACATCAGATTCATCCTTAAAAAGGTTTTAGATCCTTTTAGAGGCCGAAGACGATGAAATGTTCTGGTATAAAAATCACACCCCTGTTCAAGAAACAGTGTAACCTTTGACCTATGGGCGGCTCTAGACAGGGGCCAGCGCCCCTCTATAACTGCTCCTTTCCAAATTTTAATAAAATAAATAACTTCAAGATAAATAAATTATAATTAAACTGTTGCAAAACTTCAACTGCTGCACCTTTAGCTTTGCAATATTATGATATGATGATGGTTTTTATCTGATATAAGGATTGCAGAGCAGAAAAATGCTCTTTTCTTCACATATTTTAGAAAAATGAACTATGACCCCTTTGTTCCTTTTTATTGGTGCTGCTGTTGTCAGATGAGCATACAGCATTCAGACCAGCAGACCCAATTTATCCCTTTAGTTTTGTACAAAAAAAAAGATTTTAAACTACCTCAACGGGCGTGTATCCCTTTAGTCATGCACAAAAAACTATTTAACTACTTACTTTTTGGTGTTTTAAAATGGATGGCGATCTGACCTTAAATTGTGTATTTTTTGGACAGGACTAAAGGGATATACGCTCATTGAGGTAGTTTGAAGTCAATTTTTTCATACAAAACTAAAGAGATAAATGCAAATCTGACGTCTTGCATGCATGCATATTGACTATGGGTATGCTGGTCTGATGGGGTATGCTGATCTGACAGAACACCGCCATAAGTAAAATTATTGCCCCCCCCAACTTAATCTGGTATAGAACTGGAACTTACACCCCAGCTTAATCTGATTTAGATTATTTTTCCTCTGCTGCTGCATAGCGATGCCTCTCTGTGACCTCAGGGGGTCGGTCCGTCTCAGTCATATGACCCAGAGCGCCGTTTCCCTTCCTGCTGAAGGCCGGATTGTAACATGTAGAAATGTTTAAGGTGTGAATACTTTCAGGAGACTCTGGAAGCCCTGTGTTTGTCTTCTCCTCCCGTATACGTGTTTAACCTACAGAACATGAATCATCCTCCGTGTTTGCTCTTCAGACTATTCAGCTTATTTAGAAGGTTCCTGCTAAAGCAATGCAAGTGATGCTAATATGTATGCAGTGAATAACAAATAAAAGGTTGGTGCCCTGCAGTCGACGACTATGATGGTCCTGGTCTGTGTGTTCCTGCCAATGACCGCAGCGACGGCCTCAGATTACCTGAGAGCCACACAGCAGCTGTGCAATAAATTTGTCCTGCCATCCCTGCAGTCCATGCTAAAATCTCTGTCATTTGGAATTCATTTCGAAGCTGAGAATGCTTCCCTTGAATGGACCCCTCCACTGTTCCTCCTCCAGACAGAAGCCGTGACGGTGGACGTGCAGCTAGTAACTACCTGATCTTCTGTCACTCCTCCTGGGAAGTTCTTTTCATTTAGTCTGCCGCTGTTTTGCTGTAATAAACTGTAATAAGGTGGTCGAGGCGGCTCCGCTCTGCAGGGAACAGCAGATAATGAAAGACCGGCCAACTCCAATAAAGCTCCACTAACACCCTGCTTATAGCCCCATCCAGCCTGGCTCAGCTCAGCTCGGCTTGGCTCGCTTCATTACCACTCCCACACACCTCCACTCAGGCAAGCCGCTAGCAGCCATTAGTGGAGCAGATGATCCACAGAAGAGAACCGGCAGTCTGGGTCGGCTGCTTTGACAAAGTTTGACAACTTAGAGGCTGTTCTGTGTCTGACTTTAGAGGAAGACTTCAGTTCAAAGAGCTGCTTTTAAAGCAGGAAGATGAGTCCACTCTGGTCACCTCCCTTCATCTCTGGGCTTTTTCCTTCTGGGAATCTGAGAACGTTTCTTCTGCCTTCTGCAGGTTAACCCCGTGTTGCCATTCAGTGAGTCTGTTCGTGTCAGATCCCAGCTCTGATCCCAAGGTTGGAGGTCAGAGATGTTTACAGCAGTTTGAAGAAGCATTGACCCAGTTCAGCAAACATTTCAATGTTTATAGAAGTAAACATCTGATGTGTGGCCACATGCATTCACGCCTTCTACTCTGATTCGCTAAACCAAAAGGAAATAGGAAGGAAATACGACTTTAAAGTCGTAGGGAAGTCATATGACTTAGACAGATTTATTTGGCATTTTGTTTACACAAGTGTAAAACAAAAAGAAACTTTGTTTCTGTGAGGTGAAACAATTAAACTTTTACTTTTTTGACTTAAAAAATATTTAAGTCATATTTAAATTTCAAATCATTCTGGCTTAAACATGTATGTAAAATGTACTCTTTATCAGACCACATTGTCCCTAAAGTTAGAATTTTTTTTAGATATATATATATATAAATAAAAAAAAAATTAAGTTCTTGAAATCTATATATTTTTATTGTTCTCTTATGCAGGCCAGTTAGTTATAACTCAGCCTGAACATCTATATTCGGCCAATCATATATCAACGATCATCTGTCAATCAAATGTTTTCGGTCATAGCATCTTGTTTCATGTCGCTGCTAATATACGAAACTGTTGAAATAGATGTAAGAATCATTTCCTTTCCCATCGAGTTCCGTCCCAGTGTTCACGGGGATGGACGTCTGTGTCTTCGGCAGGCGTACAGCTAACAGAACTGGCAGCGTTGCGAGGCAAGGGCTCAAACATGTACGCCTGGAAGCCTTCGACACCAAACCAAGTTTCTGCCGCCCTGGCGTCCTCTTCCACAACTTCATCCCGCTTTCCTCCTCTAAATAAAGAATGGATGACAGAGGAGACTCATCCACGATTTTCAACAATAAACTCTCCTCCTCTTGCATGTTTCCGCTGTCCATAGCGTTCTTTGACAGTGTCGTTTCTAAGTCACCAATTTAGTGCTACTTGGTCTCAATGGAATTTCCCATTAGGAACCTACTAGCACTAAGTTGCTAACTGGTTAGCAAGATGCTTCCAACAAACTGGCCACAATCAAACTTGCGTGCAAACCTTGTGCCACAGCAGTCCCGCCCCCTTGAGAAACAACCAATCACATTCACTTTATTCAATCATGTAAAGTCGGGCACCACTCAGAAGAATTCGGAAATGCAGCGGTTGCAACGGCCGCTTCCCTACGACTTTAACAGCAGCCA